ACCATACACAAGAATAATTTCAAAATGGATAAAAGACTTAAATGTGACTCATGAATCCATAAAAATCCTAGAAGAAAATATAGGCAACAAAATTTCAGACAGCATACACAGCAGAATTTTCACTGATACATCACTTAAGGCAACAGAAACAAAGAAGAAAATGAACACATGGGACTACCTCAAACTCAAAGGCTTATGCACAGCAAAAGAAACAACCACTAAAATGGAAAGGCAACCCACTCTATGGGAGAGCATAATTACCTATGATACATCAGATAAGGGGTTAATTTCCAATATATATAGAGTGCTCATACAGCTCAACAAAAGGAAGACAAATAACCCAATTAAAAAATGGCCAGAGGACCCAAATAGACACCTCTCCAAACAGGACATACAAATGGCCAAGAGACATATGAAGAAATACTCAACATCACTAATCATCAGAGAGATGCAAATTAAAACAACAATGAGGTATCACCTCACACCTGTCAGAATGGCCGCCATCAACAAATCATCAAACAACAGTATTTGTGAGGGTGTGGAGAAAAGGGGACTCTAATACACTGCTGGTGGGAATGCAGACTGGTGCAGCCACTATGGAAAACAATATGGTGTTACCTCAAAAAATTAAAAATTGAACTCCCATTTGACCCAGTGATCCCACTTCTAGGAATATACCCTAAGAAGCCTGAAACACCAATCAGAACGAATATATGTACCCCCATGTTTGTAGTAGCACTATTTACAATAGCTAAGATCTGGAAGCAGCCCAAGTGTCCATCAGTTGACGAATGGATAAAAAAGCAGTGGTACATATACACAATGGAGTACTATGCAGCTGTAAGAAAGAAAGATCTCTTATCCTTTGAGACGACATGGAGGGACCTGGAAAGTATCATCCTAAGCGAAACAAGCCAAACAGAGAAAGACAAGTATCATATGACCTCACTTATTTGTGGAATATAATGAACATAACAGTCTGAGGAATGGGGTAGTCCCAGACATGTGGAAGTGGGGTACGGAGTGACAATTCCCAGAAGAGGGGGTGGTGGGCGAGAGATAAACCAAGGAACTTATATGCATGTATGCATGAACAGTGGACGTGGACAACAAAGCTGGGGACAGGGTGGAGAGGGTGGGGGAGGGGGAATCAGTGGGGAGAAAAGGAGAAACATCTGTAACAAAAATAAATACATTCATTGATTAAAAAAAAAATCCTTCCAAAACAGATGGATATTAATGCCTACAAATTCTGTAAGGGACTAAGCCAGGAACTGATCAGTAGCCATAAGGAGGAAGTGGATGAGTTTGATGACAAGAACAGCTGAAATGACTATCAGAAGATGTTGATTCTTCTGACTGCCGTAAACCAGCTGGTGACCTGGGCCAGTGTAATGAACAAACATTTACTGGGAATCATAGAAGACATTGTACATTGGCGGTAACAAAACGATGAAGACAATCTGTTTCCTGCCCACCAGAAGTTTAGGAGCTGATGAGGAATATGACACACAGTTACAATTTACATATGGCAGAACAAAACTAGGAGAAGTCCCAACCAAACACAAGGACAGCGTAGACCAAGGAAAGGCTAAGCTCTGCCTGAAGAAGACAGAGTCTGGAGAAAGTTTTTAGGAAAGAGTGACATTTGAACTTAACCTCTGAAGATTCGGAAAGCAGAGGGCCTTTCAGAAGCAGTGGGGGGAACCCTGAAGTGAAGTCAGATGTTTGGCCTCAGGCTGAATTCAGTGCCAGTGATGTTAAGCCTGGAGGAGCGCTCACCGGGTTCACCCAATCCCAGGCCTCACTTTCGGACCCACTGGCCTTCCTCATTGACATCACTGGCCCCGGTCTACAGATGTTTGTGACACTTTCCATAGGGACTCTGGGTTCACCCAATCCCCAGGCCTCACTTTCGGACCCACTGGCCTTCCTCATTGACATCATTGGCCCCGGTCTACAGATGTTTGTGACACTTGACAGGGACTCTTCTGATCTCCATGAGAAGTGGGCAGGACCTTCTGAAGAATGGAGAGAGCCCGGAGAGCTGAGCCCTGAGAGCTGAGCCCTGAGAGCTGAGCCGTGAGAGCTGAGCCGGGACGGCGGCTGTGCTTTCGAAACATCTGGCAGCGCAGTGCAGAACCGGCTGAAGGAAAGAGGGCAAAGGCTCGGAAAGAGGGACCGCAGTGGGAGGCGAGTCCGGGGAAGGGACAGCGAGAGCCGTGAGGGCAGAGGGGTGGAGACGAAGGGGAGGTGCAGCGCTCAGAACCCACTCGGCGCTGACTCGGTAGCCAGAGGGATAATGGGGGGGGGGGGAGTGAAAGCCATGGTTAACTTAGAATTTACAGCTTCAGCATCAACGTGAATGTCGATGTCACCAATACAGAGAAGAAAGAACAAGAATGAACTTGAGAGGGAAGACAATGCATCATTGAGGGCTTTGGGGAATCTAGAGTTGTTCTCAACCAGAGACAGTTTGGCATCTTCCTTCCCACCACACACAGGGGACTTTAGAAATGTCTGGAGACATTTTGGGTTGTTATCCTGGGGGTGGGGTGTGCTATGAGTATCTGGTAGGTAGGGAATGCTGCTAAACATCCTAAACATCCTAAAATGTGCAGGGCAGTCTCCCACAAGAAAGAATGACTAACAGTGTCAGTGGTGCAGAAGTTGAGAAATTTTAGTCTAGAGGAAGGAGAAATTTTAAATCTGGCGTTTTAGAAAGCAGTAATGGATAGAGAAAGGAACTTCTATTCACTCCTACTGTGGTGAGAGATACAGGAGAAAATTAACCACAGTGTGAGTTTGTAGAAAAGAGAAGCAGATGGCTGATTAAAAAAACTAGGCCAGCCCGGGCCAGTTTGGCTCAGCGGTTAGAGCATCGGCCCGTGGACCAATGACTTGCAGGTTCGATTCCAGTCAAGGGCATGTTCCTTGGTTGTGATTTATCTCTGGCACCAGCGGGGTCGTGCGGGAGGCAACCAGTCGATGTGGCTCTATCACATTGATGTTTCTCTCTCCCTCTTTCTCTCTCTCCTTCTCTCTTACTCTATCTGATAATAAGTAGAAAAATATCCTTAGGTGAGGAATAAAAAAATTAAAATAAAAACTAGGCCATTTCACCTCACTGGAAAAAGGAGTTCACGTCACAAACCCTTTCGCATTTAACATGCAGTGACTAGACGGCTGTTCTCAGAAAGTGTGCAGCGAGGCAGATAGATACAAACGAGCTGGTAAATCGTGGAGCAGGTTGGTTTGGTTATGAGCACTCAGAAAACCTAGACGCTGAAGACACATTCCAATCACAGCAGGAAAACAAGTACGTGGAGTAATATCTTCATCTGCACATTTATTATACTTGTTCACAGAACTACACTACTGTAACACCAGAAAATATGCTTAGAAGACGGAGGAGGAGACTTGTGGAAAGAGAAAAAGGAAAGAAGAAAGCAATGGAAAACAGAGGAGAAGAGAGGTGGAAGGGAAGAAACGACAAGACAAGAGGAAGAGGGAAGGATGGGAAGGGCAGAGTGGCATCCTCTAGACGTGGACAGAGCACCATGTCAGTGCAGTTCTGAGCAAGCGCAACTTCCTTACCCTAGTGACCCACTTCAGTGACTTCGTGAAAATGTGATATGGGAACATATTCCATGGGCAGCAAAATCTGCTGCTTGAACAGTGTTATCACTGTTCAAGGGATGGTAACCCAAAATGACAAGACAGTAACCGATCCTTCTACAATTCTGCAGTACGTGAATACATTCTGCTGTAACTCTGCTCCACTTGACGGGTGCCGGGAGCCCAGCAGAGAAGGAGACGGGAGACGGGGAGGTGGTGTGGCACTCTGAAGCAATGGAATGCACCATGCCTCCAGGCATTTTGTCCTGAGCAACCAGGCAGCCTGGGACTGCTGAGCAGAGGTCAAATGAAGTTAGCAAGAAACAATTAGAAGATGGTCCTTTCCCATTCCAACTGCCACGTGGCCCACAAAGACAAGGTATATGCGCAACCGAAAGGCGGCAGCAGCAAACCCACAGAGGCCCCGCGGCCGGGCCGGCAGGGTGTGAAGGATGTGTGCACCGCCCGGATGCAGTGAGAGCGTGCCCACGCCAGGTAGAGCTGCAGCTCTAATCCTCGCTCCCATTAGCTAGTCTGATGCTTTTTTGCAAGTAGCAGAATCTTAGCTTCTTCCTTTCTGGTAAAATGTGAATGCCAAGCTTCCTAGGACTGCTGTGATGATCAAATGAGATTATGTATGTAACACATTTATCCCAGCAGCTGCTGCTGGGTAGGGACTCAGCCAGTGGGAGCTGTTGGTGACGACTGTTTAATTCTATTACTCTGAGCAATGACTGAAAAACAAAGAGCGATGGGACTCACACCCCAAGGCAACACAAACAGAGAACATTAGATAAGGTAGCACATTTGAAAAGTGAAATCACTTTCTAAAATAAACAAGTAACCTTTATGAGTTCGTAGAACTGGAAGAGGCCTCCAGAACTCTGGTCAGACTTCCTCATTTACTGATGGGGAAATTGGAGAAGGAAATGCAAAGGCTATTGTGGTTTGGTTGTACATGGGCCAAAAATACATTGTAATTAAATGAAGGTTAGTCATAATTTATTTTATATAACACAAGGTGAAGTGATAAAGTTACAGTTCATAGTTTTACAAGTACATATACATATACATACATATACATACAAGCAGGTTCTAAGTATTTTTGCCCTGAAAATACTGGATGCTCTATAAATATACAAATGCATATACACACATATTTTAGAAATAATAGAGCTGATCTGGGACGATGCCTAGCAGAAAGTTATCCATAGACTTCTGTGAACTTGCCTGGCTTCATCACCCAAATTCACCCATTTGTAGAATAAACATACCTGATAAAATTCTTGGAAGCTTCATGGAGTACTGAAGGAAAGAGCTTCAGGAATACTCTGGGGATTGTAAAGGATGTGCTTCCCCCAAGCTACAGCCAGGTCACTCACCTGTCCAAGAGCAAGTTAGGAGCAAATAGGAGCTTCCCTGGGTGCTCCATGGAGCGCCAGACGAGACCAATCATCAGGATCTCTAGCCAGGCACATTCCAAAAGGTGGACCTGATCATGGAGGGTCAAATCCACAAAGCCTGAAACAAGACAAGAAAAACCCTGCTGACTTAAAATAAAAAGTAGCCATGACTGGTGAAAGGACTGCAACCAGGGGTTGGAACTGGGTCTATTTCCTGAGCCCTTGTTGTGGGCTAAAAGCAATGCTACTATGGGCTAGAAGCCATGCAAAGTGCTTCTTGTGCACAATTTCTTTTCATCTCTTATTAATACAACAACTCTAAGAGGTAGGAACTGATGGGGATACCCTTTTACAGATAAGGAAACATGTTCAAAGCGCTTATATAGTTGTTAAAGTCAGAGATGGGAATATGATCTCCAGAAGCTATGCCCTTGAGCACAATTGATGTTACCTTTTAGAAGCTGCAATTAAATCTAGACTTTGGATCGAGTCACCAAGTAAATCTAACCACACAGATTAAGATACTCCAGAATCGCGGAGGCATTAAATTAACATGATGTCCATAAAGTTGGCTGCTTTCCAAATTAGTTCCCTGTCCTTTTCCCCTGAGGCATCTGCAGGGTCTGTTTCTTTCCTTGCTCCTCTGCCTCCAGCATTTGTTCTCTCTGGACCATGAGACTGGCTGTTGGAATCTCATTTTTCTGTGTCCTGTTCTTCAGTTTTCTCTCCATATATTATACTTTTATTAACTATCGTTACTTCATTTCATTAGAAAGCCAAAATATGTTTCTTTTCCCTAAGCAATCAAGTATTAGTAGTTTGCTTACTAGATGTTTCTTTTGGGGGGTGTTGGATCTATCACAGGATCAGTATTAAACAATTAGCTACTCTTGTCTTATACACTTAAGCACCATCTTTGACATAATCTTTACTGCTGAACAGTTGATGTTCCACATAGACAAACATATATAATGTAAACGAGAGAAAGACCTCAGAGTCTATGACACCTCTAGCTCTTAAACCGTAATCAAGCTCCATCAATTCCAATTTTTTTTTTTTTATCCTCACCCGAGGATATTTTTCCTTTTTTTTTTTTTTTTTTGTACAGATAGAGTACAGATAGAGTGGGAGGGAGAGAGAGAAAGGGAGAGAGAGAGAAACATCAACGTGAAGGGACACATCGAGTGGCTGCCACCCGCACGACCCACCAGGGCCGGGGACAAACTGCAACCGAAGTACGTGCCCTTAGCGGGAACCGAACCCGGGTCTCTCCGGACCGCAGGCCGACGCTCTAACCGCTGAGCCAAACTGGCCAGGGCCATCAATTCCATTTTTTAAGTAACGTGAAAGTTCTTCCTCTCCTTCCTATATTCCCACTGTCACCATATTAATTTAATCCACAAGAGTCTCTCACTTTTTTTATCTGACTTCTTTAACTCAGCAAAATTATCCTGAGATTTATCCATGTTGTTGCACATACGAATAGTTGATTCTTCTAATGGCTGAGTGGTATTCTATTGAATGGATAGACCCAATAGATAAATACAATTTGCTTATCTTTCCATTGGACATTTGGGTTGTTTCCAGGGTTAGGTTATTTCGAATAAAGCTGCTATGAGCAATCTATGTACCACTTTGTTTATGAACATGCTTTCATGTCTCTCTGGTAAATACAGGGTGGAACCAAAGTAGGTTTACAGTTGTAAGTGCGAAAAACAGAGTTTATTTTTGTACTATGTATTAATTATTGTATTATTTTCTACAAAACAACTATAAACCTACTTTTGCCCCACCCTGTATGTAGGAGTATGATGACTCGATCATACAGCAGGTGTATGTTTAACTTTTGAAGAAACTGCCTGTTTTCAAAAGTGACTGTCCCATTTACATTCCCGCCGGAAATAGAAGAGAGCTCCAATTTTCTCCACATCCGCACTAACACTTGGTATGGTCAGTCTTTTCAATATTAGACATTCTGGAACGTGTACAGAAGTATCACACTGACACTGTGGTTTAATTTGCATTTCCCTAATGTCTAGTAATGTTGAGCATCTTTTCATGTGCTTCCTACAGATCATTATTTTACACTATATTCACATTAATTAGGCATGTACCTGCACATCCTGCTGGACCGTGTACTCATGAGAAGCACAAGATGCAAGATTCTGTCAAATTCTGATTTTTTAGAGTCCAAGTTTGTTTGCTCCATCACTCAGCCATTCCCAGGCCCAAAACAGAGCAAGTGTCTTCCCATTGGAAAGACTGGGTTTGGCTCACATGAAGCAGGACTTGCAGCAGAAGAGAATGAGGGCAGCTTTGTTCATAAGAAAAACTAAAGAATTAAAAACAGTGACTGGGTTTCAGCCTCCCCAGGAGAGAAAGAACACGGATCTCGACAGCCTACAGCTATCTGGATCAAAACGGACTGGCCTTGCTCTGGAGGAAACACTGGGGGGCAGCAGGAAAAGCTCCTCTTTCTTGGTACCCAATGTCCACTGGCATAAGCCACCCCAGGGAGCAGGAGTGATCAGGGAAGCTCCCAGGGAGTTTTCATTCTCTAAGATTTCACCCCAGTCTTTTGGGTGAAGTCTCATAATAACAATGTAAATTTACCCTATAAATTCAACTCTCTTTCAGAATTGTTACCATTCAAAAGGAGGTCTTGTCTTTCATGACATTCACTGTTTTAAGTGGGAAAATGTAATCATGGGATAATTCCACCCCTGATGAAATCTACACCGCGCCATTCAATACCCTCTGTAAACCTTGAATAATCACTCAGGATGAGATCTGGGGATTTCTCTCGAGAGAACTGCAGCTGGCCATGGAGCCAGACAATTTTGGAAAACGAAAGAAACACTTTCTGGTGGCGACCTTAATATTAAACTGAATCACGCTCTTTAATTCCCACTTCAGAACTTCAGTGCTGTGTAAGTCGGACAGTTTTAGTGGTCTTTGGGGGCCTCAGACATTCATCATAACCATTTGTACCACACAAGTCTAGTGATTATGAAATCTGTCTGAAGTATGTCTGTTAGTAATAGTTTTCAGTCTGAGTTCAACAGAATTGCCGGTCCTTCTGTTGAAATGATGTAGATCTCTCAAAAAGAAAGAATCTGATTATCTTTCCCATCTGTGCATATTGCCTGCAGACAAGGGTTGTGTCTCTTACAGTGTCCTCTGCAGTTCCTGAGGAGAGTATGCAAAGATGACTATCAATTAACCTCAACAAATACCAGGGCGACTAAAGGAAGTTAATAGATGGAGTGTCCCTGTTCTTCCAAAATACTGGTCTCAAAATTACTTTAACCGCACAGGAGCTAAATGCCCTTTAGGTGTGGAAGAAATATCTATTCATACTCTCAATATATACTCAATGGAGAAAAATAATGCAATAAATCTTAAACAAAATCATATTGGGCCAACTATCTATTGACATCAAGTTTCAATCCCTTGACTTATTTTCCTTACAAACAGAAAGAATGATCTAATATGCAATTTCAACTGATCTGCTATAATAACTTAGAGACATTCAACAATGCCTTTCTTGGACACTTGAAAATGTTGCCAGTATGAATATGGGAGCTAGCAGCATCTATGGGGTATGAATAGCGGCGTCAGTGACAGGTGACACAGTGAGAGGTGACTCGCCCCCATCACTTAGGGACTTCCATCTTCATGACAGTGACACGTGTGGGGTTGTGGACTCCACACCAGTGGGACAGAACACATACTGAAAAAAGTACTAATAATAGTTGTATGAAATCAGATACAAGAAAATCTCATTTCATAAGATAAACCACAGAACTTATATGCATATATGCATGAACAGTGGACATGGACAACAAACTGGGGAAAGGGCAGGGAGGGAGGGGGAGGGGGGAATCAGTGGGGGGAAAAGGAGAAACATCTGTAACAAAAATTAATTAATAAAAAAATAAAATGCATAAAAAAAAAAAGAAGAAGAAAAAGAAAGTGAACATGGGTCTTTTTTTTCTAGTCTGCATCTACAGGTCCAGTATTAGAGTATCCAGAGATAGAATATTCTGGAAACAACAGCTATGCCTCAAATCCTACTCCCATCCCTTGTGTGGGCAGGACTCTTTCACAGAAAAGACCCTCCGTGTACATACAAACCACTCATTCCCAGCCTGTCGCCAAGGACAGACACTCCTGCTTCTGTTCTCCCTGGCTGGTGTGGCTCAGTGGTTGGAGTGTTAGCCAGCGGACAGAAGGGTTGCAGGTTCCATTCCTGGTCAAAGGCATGTACCTTGGTTGCAGGTTCGAGCCCCGGCCCTGCTCCCCCTCCCTCCCTCCCTTCCCCTCTCTTTAAAAATCAATGGAAAAAATATCCTGGGGTGAGGATCAAAAACAACAACAAAAAAGTAACTTTTTCCTCCAAGATTTTTAAGTTTTAACTTGAAAGGAGCTCATGGCACATCTCCCCCACTCCCTTGGGCCCCATGAGGCCCTCAGCCCTCTTCCTCACCCTACTAGGGACTTCCACACAAATTGCTCGGTTTTCCGGGGCACAGAGGAGACCCCTGAAGCCTCACCCTCTTACTGGGTGTGGTGAGGCCCTTAGAAACGCTATTGAAAAGTCTGCAGAGACCCTTAAGCAAAGTGAATAATACAGTATAAATGTGTGTAAAGTTCAGCACTGCTGTGGATTAAAGGTAAATCAGAGCAGCTCTTCAGTAAAGGCGCAAGAAAAAATAGGCACGACAATAGTGATATTTCTTATTTGGGTGGGATACAGTCAACAGAGATGTAAAGCAAAGTAGAAACTCTGTAAATAAAAAAAGGCAACTTTTCTCAGGGAGTGCTATCTACAAAACTAGAAGCCAGGTGGTTGTTTCCCTTAGTAAATCCACTGGGGAAAAAATATTTGTTTTCTGACCTTCAAAAAATTAATTGTGTTCTGTCATATGATGACCCCACTGTTCTCCAAAATGTCACTTATGAAATTGCCACTGCATTCTTTCTGCATTGCCTTAACTCAATGGAAGATTCAAATAATTCAGCTTTTTCCCCCTTAATGCCTAAGATTCAGTACAAAAGTAGAACAAGTTGGAAGGAAGGAAGGAAGGAAGGAAGGAAGGAAGGAAGGAAGGAAGG